CTAATTCAGTGACTTCCTTACCGCGGCCATTTTCTTCCTCCCAGATTACAATTTTAAAATGCTATTAAATACAGATATTAAGATAATCTCAAATTATCTGTATGGGGAAAATGAAATAATGACATTGGTGAAAATAAAAAATATTAAGAGTGATGGGATTAAATAACATTGGTCTGACCTACTAGACTTTATGTTTTAAACATGGCTCTTTTATAATCTGTATGGCTTATAACAAAGCTAAAATAGCCTAAGTATTCAAATATAGAATCTAGAACATATATTCCATGTTTGAATATCAGTTGTCACTGGATTAATGGTTAGTAATATGGATATTCTAGGTCTTCATTTATATTTACATATTTTTTCTAATTACCTTTCATTGTTTCTATAACTAAGAAAAATAGTAAAATACAGTTAAGCTATAAAAGAAAAATCTGGAATTTGGGAGCAGTTTTAGAATTAGGATTTTTCTTAAATGTGAGGGAAAAGAAATTGACTCCCTATTAAGTCTGTCATGATTACTCTGCACAGTTGGCAGTGTTTTCGTTTTGTATGGATCATAAAAAAACATGGGTTGGGAATTTAGTGATTGAACAATCTAGGGTTACCAACTACTGTCTACCTTTATAATGTAGTAAATAATTACCAAGGGCTATTCAAAGTAATGTTATTTGGTTAGCAAATTTAGTATATAATTTAGTAGACAATGACACATAGTAGATAATCTCTGTATTTGAACATCCAGTCTTTTCACAAATTTAAGCTTTTTTGTGGAATCTGAATACGTCTAAATCCTGATAACTGGAGGGGCTAGAAATATTAGGATTGGAGATGTAATATGCTAGAGGCTGGCATTTTGTTTATTAGCCTGCATTTTTTGAAATTGTTTCTTTTTTTAGTTTCTGTGAATATTGAACATCCTTATTATGGGATGATTGAAATATCACAGATTCTCTTATTTCCTGTTTTTGTCCTTATTACAAAAGTAGTCCATGCCCATTAGAGAAAAATCAGGTAATATAAAGAAGCATATACTAATCTTGTCATTTTTAAGTAATTCCTTTCAGTTAACCTGTTGTTAGATATCTAGTTTTTTGCCCCCCCGCAACTTTTTAATGTAACAGAAATTATGGAATAAGAAAAATAATGTGAAAATGAAAAATTTTAAATATAGACACATCACCAAATTCTAAAAAAAAAATGAATTATAGGTAGGTACATAAGGGTCTCAGAACCACCCATAATGTCAATAAATTCAAATATTAACAAAGTCATAGATCATATTAATTTTAACCAAATTGTCAACAAAATTTCATTGAACCGAATGTCTCTTTTGTTATTTAGCACTTCATTCTAGTTTGGACTTCCTGTTATCATCAGATTCTGAGAAATGAGGATTATCCAAAAGAATGCAATAAGGAAGACTTTAGTATATATGAATCAAAAAGAGAATATACTAGGAAATATTTATTAATATTCCAGTATGTAATTCATATAGATTGGTATGATAACTTACAGTGATATCATTATTTTGAATTATGTTTACAAGAAAATACATTCTAAGGAACAACTTCTTGAGAGAAGACAAAATATGAGATACAGAAAGCAACTAAACAAGGAGACATTTATGTGATTGAAATTTGGAGAAATGGAAGTATATGAACAGTAAAAATAAACCTGAGGGAGAAGAAAGAAAAATTGAGATGCAAATCTATATCAGACAGTTGTGATTCATAATTTGGGTGCTAACTCAAAGTGAATTATAAATAATCTCAAAAATAATTATTTTCATTGGATTGACAATTAGTGGAAGAGAGTTACAAGCTTTAAAAGAAAAACTTCAAATGCATCTGTGTTTGTGTGTGTAGAAGGGGAGTAAACTACTATATGACAATTTTGAAAGAAAATTCTAATTAACAAATGCTGTGCTTTAATTTATGGGGAGATAAGAAACCTATAGTCACAACATTGTGATTCCTCACGTATTAATTTTCATACATTTTTCTCCACCTGTACTTTTATATACCCCTTTTCAAAAACATACTCAATTTTGTGTATGTGTATATATTGTTTGGCAAAGTTGTAGAAGTACTCCTGTGGCAGAAAATGCAATTATTACCTAACGGTTTACTGATATAAATTCTGGATCAAAGAAAACAAATGAAGCCCAGTGGTTTCATACCAGCACAGGGGAAGCTGTTGGCATAAACGTTTATGTGTTTATTCTTTTCTTTTTTAGTTTCAATCCAGTTTCCAACCAAAAATCATTATACATCCTCCACAAGCGAAGCAGTTCCACCTCCAATATTGACACAGAATCAAGCGTTTTCTCTTCCTCCTGGTCATGCTGTGTGCTGTTTCTTAGATGGTGGAGTTGGACTTTATGATATGGGAGCCAAGAAGTGGGATTTTCTTAGGGACATGGTATGTCTGTGGTTATTCCTTCTTTTATACACAGCACTTATTTTGTGAAGCTCATGATGTTTACTTTTACTTATGTATTAATATTGTTAAAATTTAATCATATATAAGGACTCTTAGTTGGCTGAAACATTTTAGAATAGTGAATAGAATGATAAAGCTATTAAAATTCTTTAAATTTTGAACATTAAACTACTTTAATATCAATGTCTACTTAGCTTATCATGATTACTCTATATGGTTGGTAATGTTCCCATTTTTGTGGGGAGCATGTATAGTATTGGAAAATTACATTACTATACTATATTTTGGAAGCAAAATGAGAAATAGAATTATTCCTTTAGGAAAAAGGACAAATCCATCTCTGCCAGTTCCTCCAAGCTTTGTTGTTCTTATCTGTGAAGTGAGCAAAGTTGGATTAAGTGTTTTTAAGATTTATTTCTATTATTGAATCATTACAATAATTCTGTGATTATGTTGATTTCTATTCTTCTGATCATTAAGTCTCTATATATGATAGAATACAGCCTTGCTGAGGACTCACATTTTTGTTCTGTGTTTTATCCCCATTACCTAAAATAGTACCTGGCATATAGCAAGACTTTATTAAATTTTGTTGAACGAATGAATGAATGAATGAAATAATATATATTGTGGCATATTTGTCAAGAATCATCCTTCTTAATTCTCCCTGGTTCAGGGTTTATAAAAATGTCCATATTTCTACAGTTTTGTTTTGTTTTGTTTTAAGATTTTTGTTAAAATATAGCTAACATACAAATATTATATTAGTTTCAGGGGTACACCATAGTTATTTAACATTTATATACCTAAAGAAGTGATCACCATGATAAGTCCAGCAACCACATGACACCGTACCACACTATCACAATATTATTGAGTTAGACTATTCTAGACACTTAAGAAACTTTAAAAAATTTATGTTTCCTTGGAAAAATTGAGAAAGGAGTCTATAGAGTTATCATTGTTCTTATTTAAAAAAAGGGGAAATATTCAATAATACTGTCATTTCAGGACTAATTTAATTTTGTCCTCAAATAAAAATACTGAACATTAGCAAAAATATTTTTTAACAATATATAGTTGTTATTTATAAATATTTCTTTTGTACATATTCTGTAGATTATTTTTCTTTCCTTATAAACTTTTCTTTCCATGTAAACATTTTCCCAGTGTGGTAAACTTCTAATGGATTTTTAGTTACCATTTACTTTTAAAAGAATTAGGAAAGGGAAGTGAGAAAAATATAGGAAAATATTTAAGTGTATTAAAATTTATATTAGTAAAGAAGTTATGCAATCTAAGTTCAGTAGACTTTCTATTGAATTTATATCCTCATATTAAAATATGCTTTACTTTTAAAACTATGTTACATTTATACTTCTAATAAAACCTAAAATATTCCTTGATTATAAATTATTTCAGTGGCTCTTCTCACTTTCAGAGCATCTGCCAGTTAGAAGAGATAGTGAGTTTTCTCCTTATAATTTCTCTCCTTAGCACAGACCCAAATGTGAGATGACTAGAAGTGTTCCAGAAGAAACATCTGACACTGATGTTGTATGCGTAAAGCATCGCCAAAGGTCTCAAATTACATGGGATAAGAAAAATCTATTCATATACTTTCCAAATGGTGTACTTCCAACTGAATGCTTGATTCAAATTAAGAAAAATGCTTCACAATTTCCCCTTCATCCCTATACTCCTATCGATCAGACAAAGAAGAAACATTCACAATTTAGTTCATGCTATATGATTTTTCGAATTTCAAAAATAAAATTTGAAGGCATAACCATGAACTAACATTGAAAAATGCACACACAGGCAGTCCCTGCCATAAGTATGTTCTTAATATTGAAAATGACGACCGGGAACAACTCCCACCAGGGAGCCTGTGGCTGAACCAGTGGCTGAACCAACCTCTCTTCCCTCCTGCTAACCCTTGAGATTTTTCTCTCCCCTTCCCAAAGGAGAGACATGCAGCCATTGGGCATTTTCCTGTGGGTGGTGGTTTCTGGTGTCAGTGGAGGTACATGATTTTAAAGGACGCCCACTCGACCTTTACTGCAGTACGTACTTGGGAATAGAGCCCTGTCCTTGGGCTCTGATTCTCCCCCAGATCCCAGCTTGTTCTACTTTCTGCTGCTTGGAGAAGTTTCAGTTCCCATTCCCTAATGTTGGGGAAAAGACAGATGGCGATGCTGGCTATTTACATTAGATTCTTAACAGATTTTCCCACAGCTCCACTTTATAAGCATGTGTTTACTTACATCTGTATATCCCACTTTACAGTTTGGTGGGATGTTTAGGATCCAAATCACCATGTAATGGAGACAAGTGTTCCAATTTCCAAAGGTTAACTTGCTAGAAAATTTTGGAACAAGGCTCATTAAAAATTGAGACCCTGTAGGATTTTTCTTCTTTCTGCTAAAATTGTGTCCTTTTGGAGTATGGTGTTGGTATAAAACAAAAGGAATATTTGTATTAAAATACTTCTAGTTTCAGTTTTATCTTGGTCTTTTATTATCCTACGAGGATGACATATTAACTGTTAATAGTTAATTGCTTTATAAATTTCTAGCATAGATTCTATATATGATAAATAATCAGAAAAGATATGTTTGCGTTGATTTAAAGTTGAAAATGAAACTTTTGAACATCTTTGTATTTAGTGGCTGATTTAAGGAACTAAGGTTGAATAAAATATGTACAATAATAACAGCACAGAAATCATTAAACAACAGCAATAGTTCCAGTTTTCTGTTTTTGCATGCCTATATGTGTTTGCATGAAAAACTGGGAACCATAGTAAGTGGTTCAACTTGATTATGCATTGCAGTTTGTTATTAATAACATGAGTTTCCTCAGTAGTTGTGACTTTTTTTATGCTGCATTCCTAGGGACATGTGGAAACTATCTTTGACTGCAAATTCAAACCTGATGATCCCAATCTCTTAGCAACAGCTTCCTTTGATGGCACTATAAAAGTCTGGGATATAAACACGCTGACAGCAGTGTACACGTCCCCGGGGAATGAAGGAGTCATTTATTCCCTGTCATGGGCTCCAGGTAAGAAGTATTTTATTAAAATCAGGAGTACAATTAAATGACTTTCCTAACTTTTCACTTGAATTATCTTCTTCCCTCAATGCCATCTTGCTCCAAATGCTTGTAGAGGCAAATTAGTAACAACGTAATATTGTGGGGTTTGAGAGTGGACTTCCAGCACAGGCACTTTGCTTTCTGGGCCCTTCTGTATGACATAGGCACATAGAAAAGCCACAGTAAATCAGGATGATAGTGACCCATCTAATTTTAGCTGCATTTGTATGGATATGCCTTTAAAGGTATAAAACATTTTACATGAAAGAATGTTTCCTTAAATTTTTATGTGAATCAAATATATGAAAATTAAACATTTATTTTCTAAAAATTATACGTATCTCTCCCTGATACCATACCCACCATACTAGCCTGTCCGAGCGCCATGAGACTTCCACTTGTCTCACTCTCTTCAAAACTCCTTGCGTGGTATAACGTTCAATTCAGATGAGGCTGTGAATCAGCACCTTGTTCAGTTTTTTGCAAATAAAGACAGGTCCTTCTATGAATGAGGAATTATGAAGCTCACTGAAAGATGGCAAAAGGTTATCAAACAAAATGGGCAATATATCATTGATTGATCTTTGTTCTTTATATAAGTAAATGACCTTTGGAAAACATAGACAAAATATGTCATGACTTTTCTGACAACCCAGTACTTCACTAATAAAGAAGAGAGTCACAAAAAGAACTAAGTAGTTCTCTTACCTACTGCTCCCTTTTTTACCTCCATCTCTGTTTTACCTCTTGATTGTGATGGCCAACATTTATTAAAGATAATCTGTTGTCAGAGAGGTTGAGTAACTTACCCAAGATCGTATTTGTAACAAAGTAGTAGTAGAATCAAGATTTGAACAACTGTCAGTTTGACTTTTAATTAAGCCCGTGCTGTCAATCATTGCAATATGCACCTTCACAGCAGGTTCTCCTGGCTAGGGATGGAAATACTGGATCAGCTAGTACAGACAGAGCACCATAGCAGCTGTTAGTTGAACATTCCTCCTCCTACAAAATGTATATAGGTCTCAAACCTATACAGTGATTTAATGAAGTAAAACGTGAATAGAAATTGTGAATGTAAAACCCATTGTTGCAAATCAAAACACGGAAGGTCCAATATTACTTAAAGCATCATTTCACTCTCTACATTGAGAATTTGCATCAAAAAAGTAAATATGTTGGAAAAAGGAAATCCTGTGAATTTTTTCAAAATATGATTATGGATGAATCACTATTTCTAGGTAAGTATGGATGAAATTTGAAAGATTAACAAAAAAGGTTGATATAGATGGAAGTAGAGTAGGATATAGATGATTGCATAATTTCCTCTACTTTTAGAGTAGATACAACAGGAGAAAAAAGTGCAAATAAATATGGAAACTTTTCCCCCATAATTTTTTTTTTTAAGATTTTATTGGAGAATTGGGGGAGGGGAATAGTGTTGGGAATGGAGAAGGGGAACATACAAGTTTCTGTCCTTTTGTTCTTCAGTCTAGTTGTGGAGGACACCGCTTCACTGGCCCATGTTGATACTATGATCATTGCGCTCTTCCCGGCTGAGGCAGTCATTTGCTGGCCATTGGACGGCCACTCTCAGTAGCTCAAGGCAGCCCACTGCCACAGGGGCTGCAGCCTATGCCGTCACTGGCCACTCATGGCAGCCCAGCTCTATGTCCAGCTGTTGTTCACAATCTTAGCTGTAGAAGCCGCAGTGTCACTGGCCCATGTGGGAACCAAACTGGCTGCCCTGCTGCTCAGAGCTCATGCTCGCAACCCAACTCTTAACCAATTGAGCCACTTGGCCAGCCCTCCCCAGTAATTTAAGAACCCCAAAAGTGGGGGCAGAATGAAATTACTCAAAATATAGTGAGGGCTTATTATACTTTTAGTGCTTACAGTCATTTATTATAAAATAGTTCCTCCATATTTTTACTCCTAGGTAGCAGATGACAACTGTTCCTTTTTTTAGTGGAGAAAACCTCTTCTTTGACTGCCTTGCAAAAAATAACTGAAGTCTTACAAAAAATACTGAAGTCCTTGACTATCTACTAACTTAGCAGCTGTTTGATTTTCAGAATTCTTTCTTTTATTTCTTTAAAACAAAGTGCATTGTTTATATTTTTGATAAAAAACTTGAGTTTTTTTTCATGTGCTTTGCTTACATAAATGCTTTCCTAATATTTTTTTAAATTACTAGATGGTCAGAAAAATGTAAATAGTGACTGGCTATGTGACAATATTAAGGAATTATTGACAGTTTTTGTAACTGATTGTGATAGTTTGGTTATGTTAATAAAAGTCCCTGTCTTTTAGACATCCATGGTGAAGTGTTTATTGATGAGATGATATAATGTCAGAGGTTTGCTCCAAAGAAATCGAGTAGGGGCTATAGATAAAACAAAAATGAGATATTTTGATAACTGTGGAAGCTATATGATGGAAACATTCACACTATTCTCTCTATATTTGCATACATTCAATAATTTCCATATACAATTTTTTTTTAAAGAACTACTTTGCAAATCGCAAGTCTTACTTTTTCAAAAATGACATTTTTGAAAAGAATTACATTTGTGGCAAGCATTTCATATGTCTAACAAATTGTTTCCTAAGGTGATTTAAATTGTATTGCTGGAGCAACTTCCCGAAATGGTGCTTTTATTTGGGATGTTAAAAAGGGCAAAATGGTACAGCGATTTAATGAGGTAAGATGTATTTACTGCTAGCTGAATAACCTAATGTCTTTTACTGCTGCATATTTTAAAAATGCTTTTATCTCTGAATTTAATAGTCAGTTACCACGTAGCATTATGGCCTCTCAGTTAGAAGAAAATCCAAGAGAACATTCACATGCTAAAATGAATCCTGCAAAATGTGGATGAGTCTAAGGTACAAAAAAATCCACCTAAAGTTGCATTTGAGGTTCAAAGGAATTTTGAGTCATCCTTTGCAAAATTATCTAGGCAAATATTCAGTAGTTGCAAGAAGACTAAACTCAGAACAAGTACCAAATTACAGTCCTAATTCTGTTACTAATTATGCCTTAACATACGGAGAATCATTTTATTGCCTTGAACCTAATTCTTCACCTATAAAATAGTGAAGTTGGATTATATAATTTCTTAGATTTCCTTCCAATTCTCAAATTCAGTTATTCTATGACAAGCCCTAAAACCTCCCCTCTTCCTATGTGTAGTGTCACAGGTTGTACTTCTGCTTGGAGTCAGATTATCACCCATAGTTTACTGAGGTCCATTAATATTTCGAAAATACATATGATCTCATCACAGAGTGTTAGATACCAATCAAGGGAAATATTACAGGATCTAGGATTGTCTCTCACTATCTTGAAATTTCCTTCATATCAAATGACTATTGTTAAAGTTTATTAAATATATAACTTATATGAAAATAGTTTATGTATTTGAGGCTTTAAAATCATTTATACAAAAGACTGTTATTCCTCTGAGGATCAAGTGCCCTTGATCTTCTGGGGGATACTGAAGTAAGGTGGCAAATGCAGAGTATTAGGGAAACTACCAACCACCAGTATGCAACTTTGCTCTCAGAAGACGATGCCCTGACACAGGGCTGCATGGTTACCTCCTTCCCTTTGTCTACATAACAATACTCTTTTAGTTCAGCAATGCCCCCAACCTGGGTTTTGCCCTCCCCTTCACCAGAACAGCACTTATCCCATAATAAATAGTGATATGAGAAGAAAGGAACCTGAAAAAGAAACTTTTGACCAAAATTCAAAAATCATATCTTAGGTGTCACATCTGTTAATCTTTTTTTATGGTGTCTTGGCCATTTGTGTCCTAAACTATCTGCCTGATTCCAGCAGCACAGCATCTTAGCATCAAGGGCATCTCTTGTATCTATCCCTGTCTTTCCCAGCTTTTAATAGTGTAGTTAAAACCAATATCAAAATTGCTTAAATCTAGGAGAATAAATATGGGAAAAATCAACAATGCCAGGTTTAATTAACTAAGTTACATATGCCTGAGAATATGAAATGGCAGGATATTAGAGAGCCATAAGTGTACTCTACATGGCAATACCCAAAGAAGACAGGTCTCCACTCCTACAACTGAGTGTAGAGACTACCACCATTTTTGCATCCATCTTTATAAACCACCCACCTTGACCCCCAAAGAGGTAAAAACAGCAAACTAGAGACTGCCTTAGTAAAACAGTCTTAACACTCAGGATAAAATATCACTTTAGTCTCCGCTCACAACAGCCACAATTTAAGTACTATCCTCGTATAAGATTGAAATGTTTTAAATAAAATTTGGAATGGATCGATTGCAACCTTTATTCACCCATGACCCAGTTGATGAATGACATTCCCACGTATAATGTATTCCTTGTGTTTTAAAAAAATTCTCATCCTAGCATCTGTGACTATATCCTTTACCCTTTTCCAATGCAAGAATGCAGAGGAACAGATACATACAGAGTGACTTGTAGGAATAATCTTAAATCGGTTCTCCTTTGTTTTTATAAAAATAAAACTTCATAATTGAGAAAAACAATAACAATTGCTTACAGTATTTCTCACGTTATAGTTGTAATTGTATCGGGTAGAGTAGCAGATAAGTAACTATCTTCATCTCCAGACTGGTGTTTACAGAAAAGACATTAAGCTGAGCTTAGTTCTACAGATGGCTCAGCAAACAGGTTCTGGCTCTTTACCTGTGTCCACAAAAAAGAACTAGAAGCCACCCAATTGATGTTTTGAAACAATGACTTTGTTAAGTGTGACAACTTGACACATTCTTATCTTTCAGCTGTTGGCAGTAATACCTCTGTTAGCACCATCTAGAGCAAGTTCCTAATAGAAAACTAGTACTTAGAAGAAGTAAATATATAAGAGAAAAAAGGGGTGAATTATTTCTTATTGATAGGTATTTTGCATTTTTTGAAGCATGGAAAAAATGGAATATTCTGCGTTGCCTGGAGTCATAAAGATTCCAAAAGAATAGCGACCTGCAGTGATGATGGTTTCTGGTAAGTACTGTGTATGGAATTATGCTATTTTATAAAATATACATTTGATAATACCAATTGTATTCTGGTAACACATGCATTAAAATTTTTGATGAGATATCATTTGTACAGCTCTACCAACAATCATAAATTTTATTTATAAGCCCATATAGGCACATGCTATATTGCTATGATGTCTCAGTAATAAATAGTAATACAATGATGTTCAAAAATAAATAAATAAATGAGTAATTGCTTTCTAAATGAAAACACCAACTGAATTATAACCAGAAGACTGTGAGTTGCTTCAAAGAAACTTCAAGGACTTTTTACAAAGAGTCTAAATGATTCTCATCATATTTTTGAGGGAGTGGTATTTCAGTTTTATAATCGATTCTAGAGATACCAAGTGCTCTAGAAACTTCTTCACAGCTTTGTAGATGTATTATTTATAAAAGGATAAAAAGCCCTTGCAAGAAGAATAAGGTAACTCATGTGGGAAATGCCTTTTTTTTTGGAAGCTAACCTGACCTTGTGTTTCAGAAATATGTGTTTTTATAAAACCCTGTTAAGTTCCAGGGAAAAGTAGATTTCCGAGAAATGTATATAAAGGAAGAATTGCCTTTGGGTTAAAAAAATATTTTTAATTAAATTATGTTACCCTGTAGCTATAGGTATTGTAATCTTTGGCAGGTGATATACCATATTTCCCCATGTATAAGATGCAGCCTTTTCTGAAAAATTTGGGGTCAAAATACTGGGTGTGTCTTATATAGTGGTTGTAGATTTTTCTACTTGCATTTCCCTCAATGAGGAGTTGTATGAATTTTATGATGAATAAAACTTGAGTTCAATAACTTTATGTAATACTTTTTTTTCAAATTTCGGGCCCCAAAATTAAGGTGTGTCTTATACATGGGAGCGTCTTATACATGGGGAAATATGGTAGGCACTCATGGTTGTTAAGAATTTAGTATGTTTTCTCTTAGGTTGTGCTGTACCCAGCCCAATTTTGTTATCCTTACTTTTTCTTTTTTTTTCCCTCCCGCCCCTATCCTTACTTTTTAATTTCAGTGGAACATTTAATTTCAATATTGTAATTTCAGTGGAAAAGATAGTACTATGGAAACCAAAATTCTTCACCAGGAAATTAAAATACTCACAAATAACAACATTAGTGATTTTTCTCCCTTGAGAAGAACTATTTGCTAATTGATACATACCAAAATACAAAAGATGTGCTTAAGTGTTTCTTGATTAGGTGATACATAATTAGCCTTACCATATATTGTCAGGACTCTACTTATTTGAAATATACTAAGTCAATGACTAAACACTTGTAAGCATAGGTCACCAGCATTCCCAGTAACCTCAAAAGTCTTGGTGAGCCTAATGATGTTTTAGAAGGCCTTTTCCAAAAGCTTTTAAAGCCCTGCAATACATTAATTTATGCACAACTTCTTTTTTTTTTTATTTCTAAAGGAATCAATAGCTTGCATTATGGTAATACTATAATTATATATTGGGGATTAGAGTTTCTTTTATTTTTGCAGTTAAAGTATATAGGATCCCTTTAATGAGAAGGAGTCCTCTATATTTATAGTTATATCATTTAGAATATGATAGAAAAATGTTACAACTTACATGCCTTGGACTTAGTATAATAAAACATGTAACCAGCATTATAAATGCATTGTTTTAAATATAAATTTTGGACTGGTACATTTTGAAGCTGAACATCTAATATGTTACTTATATCATTATGCTTTAAAATATATGTATAAACTATGGTTTTCCTCAGTCCAAACAGATTTTTTAAGAAATAGTCTGTAAATCAAAATTTATCCTCTTTAAATTCATTTCAATGGATTGCCATAATTAGTACTATGTGATGTAAATATGTTTACTCATAATTAATTGGTTATATGATTTACACAGTATTCTGAATGTTCTCTGTGCTTTGCAAACAATATCTCTATCCTAAAATACTTATGATTGAGCTATACAGTTTTGGCTTTGTTGAATGAAGTATGTAAAATGTACTTTTTAAAAAAATTTTTTCTGTTAACACATTACATTTAATTTCAGTATTATTCGAGCAATCGATGGTAAAGTGCTACACAAATACAAACATCCTGCTGCGGTGTTTGGTTGTGATTGGAGCCAAAACAATAAGTAAGTATTTCTTCCTGAAATAAATAATAATGACATTTCAGAGATTTTAAATAACCATGAAGTTTAATGTTATTCCCAAAGGTGTTACCCATCACTCTTTTTCGATAATATTCCTCTTGTCTAGCTAGTCTTGTAATTGTTTATTTACTCTAGCTGTCCACTTTTATTTCATGAAATTTTTACATGATTTAGAAATACCGATTTCCTACTTTCAGGGCAACTTTCTGATGCTTTCAGAAGTATATGGCTAACTAATGAAAAATGGAATTCAGTCCAGTCTATGAGCGGTTTCATCAGAGGAATATGGCACTTTCTCCAACCCTTGTAGGGATCTATGCAATGGTCTTGTTCTGCCATGACTTTCCATTACCCCCCACCTAATGCTAATACCTTAACACTGGATTATTCCCAACATGTGAAATTTACGTGGATGGTTTTGAAAGGTCAACTTTGCTTAAGAGCCTAGTATTTACCATGAAAAACTCAGCTTAGATTTAAAAATTAGACCAAATCAAACTTCCACCAAAATTGATTTAAGTCACTGTACTTTCAAAAATCTTGTTTCAAGCCTCTCTTTGATGGGATATAAATTATATTTTAAAATGCAAATGTTCTATAGCTATTGTGAAAATAATGTGAATTATCTCATGCTTTTCCATATTACAGGTGGAAAGTTATGTATTAAAATATTAAAGCGTATTATATTTGTGTTCTGAGTCAAGTCACATATTATACAAAATAATGGATCTATGTATTTCTTCCAGTAAATATAGAATTTATAACACACTCTTAATGGCTATATGCAAAATGAGCTCATGACTAGCTCCTCCCCCAGTATTATACCTCATCACCTCTCAGTTTCTGTTTCCAGTCAGCCATCAATTCCTCTCACATCCTCCATCTTAATATTCTACTTTTTCCAAGGATCTCTCCTGCCATTAAATCAATAACATTTGTTTGTTTTTGGACTTCTGCAAAAGCTTTCTAAATCAGTTCCAGAATTCACACCCTCTGTCACCACTTCCTCTGCCCTCCACCTTCTCTATGTGCAGTCAGAGTGAGCATTTAAAAATGCAGATCTGAGCCCTCTGTTCTGCTTAAATCCTTCAGTAGCTTCCCACTGATCATAGGATAAAATGCCAAATCTTAGGGAGCCCCACAGGGAAATCCTTGTGTAATCTAGGATTAATCTGGTTCCTGTGTACTTCAGTAATCTCATCCCAAGCCTTTCTTCCCTGTTCTTTACACCCAGCCATGGCTTTCAGTTTCTTGAACCAGCCAGTTCATTTTCACCCCAAGGCATTCTCTCATGCTGTCCCCCTTTATCTAAGATTTCACTCCCCACCTAAACCACACAACCCACCCGAGTTGAATGGATTTAGATAACTTCTACCTATTTGAGCTCTGGCTCAAAACTACTTCCACAGGAAAGTCTTCCCTGACCCTATATTAGGTAAACTTCTCCTAAAATATGCCTTGTAATAAAATTATGAAATTGGCTATCTCACCCTCAAAATGTAAATTCTGTGAGATTAGCAACTGTGATATCTTTCTGTAGCAGTATATGATAGCCAAACGGTGTGTTCAGTGTACAAATTACCTTGTATCTGACCAATGGAATAGTTCTGCTTTCTTATTTCTCGGTTTCATAGGGTTTAAAAGCACATGACCAGTTGAAATAAAAACTAGTTATTAATGCAGTATGCTTTGTTGGTTAGGAAAGCTTTTTTCAAAAAAAGTCCTTCATACTTAATTATCATGCTTACTACCAAGCAAGCCTACTTCATAAATTTCAATTTTATTTTAAAAAATCTTTTAAAAATGTTCTAATTCTGTATTCCTATTCCACTTAGCATCTTAGGACATAAGTGAAAAACGCCTTTGAATTTATAAAAGTTTATTCATAAGATATTGCTGAATATATAATTTAGATGTCCATATGTGCATTTATTGAGTGTTTATTATTATATTTCTAAGATTTTATACTTAGGTACCTGCATATATATATATATATATATATATATATATGTGTGTGTGTGTGTGTGTGTGTGTGTGTGTGTGTGTACATGTAAATATTTTCTTATGTGAAATACATTTCCCACATATGGAAACCAGCCCATTTCTCAGTGGGCCTTACCCTCTGTGGGTAAGTATAACCTGCACATTTGCAGATTGGCATGCCAGTTTGAAAACTGGTGTATTTATTCAAGTTGGATTCAATAAATATAAATTTTATAACCCATGTGACAAAAATCAACCATTTGAAGTTTGAGGAAGGTGTTCTATGACAGTTGGGTCCAAAATTCAACTGATTAAAAGGGAACATTGGGATAAAAACTCCATACTAGGGCAGTTTCTACAAATGATGTTTTTACTTATGTGAGTTTTTAGTCTAACTTTATTAAGGAAGCAAAAAATTCTAGTTTTAGAAATTAGTACTCTATACAGTTAAAATTATTATTAACAAATAATATCAATTTTTTCATATTTTAATGTGCCATTAACAATATTTCAGAGACATGATAGCCACTGGCTGCGAAGACAAAAATGTTCGTGTCTATTATGTGGCCACCAGTTCCGATCAACCATTGAAAATATTTAGTGGGCATACAGCCAAAGTGTTCCATGTTAGATGGTCTCCTCTGAGGGAAGGAATTCTTTGCAGTGGTTCTGATGATGGGTATGTGCTTTTAGATTCTAATTTTCTAGGCCTTAATATCACAAGCTTATAATTTTCTAGAAATGTACTTACTTATATGATCCAACTTGTATGTGGAAATACTTTAAATATGTACTTAACATGTAGGCAGTTAATGAGTACCTTATTATTGGGTCGTCAGGAAAGTCATGATGCATTTTTGCATTGAAAAACAGAGAAAAATACGTCATGACTTTCCCGACAACCCAATACTTTCAAGGAAAAGTACATTAAATTTTGCCATGCTCATATCACCACAGTCATGATTTCTATTTTCTTACTTTGCTTACTATGGATGCTCATTTCTAACTCATTTGCAACACTGTTAATGGAAATAAAAATTTTAAAAGGATCTGTTGGGAAAGGGAAGACCTGAAACAAATAAATATGTAAAGTATAGAGAAGAATTTATTTTTTACTAATGGTCACATACTTAATATGGAAAGCAGCTATACGCTGTTTTCATTAAGAATGTACTAAAACAAGATGATCATATGTTATAGCATGAAGAGAAGGTATTTTAGAAATGAGAGTGATTTAACATTTATTTCAGGGTTTGTGGAAGTTTCTGAAGTCTTGTCTGTATTTTATATTTAAATAAGATAGATATGCATCATACAGTTTGGTCACTACTTAAGCATGAGCTAAATTGAGGTATGAAAAATCTTACTTTATGCAAGTAAAAGTCATGATGTATAGTAACCAAAGGTTTAATATTGAAAATTAAGTATTTCAATCTTGAAATTTTGGCATGAATCCAAATTTAATAATAAAAACAATGGTTAGATTTCTGTGGGCTATCACTTGAAATATTACTTATGATAAGCTTCCTTTTGAGATTGTTCCAGTCTCTTATCATAAACTTTAGAGTCTAAATTCTGCTCTACAGAAAAAAAGGTATAATTTTCAATTATTGTCTAAGAAACATTTGTAAGAAAGACAGCAGTAAACATTTTACTGACTTATGGTAATGAAAGTTGAAAGACATTTCAAAATTCTAGTTATTGGCTGCTTTAGTGGCCTTATAGATGATGGTTGTACCTAACAAGTTATCTAGCACCTTTAAATAAAAGTCAAAATTGTAGAGAAACCACTAATTGCCAATGTACTCATTAAGAACTCCCAGATACTAAACTGCAACCTGGAAGCCTCGGGCTGTTCTTATGGAGTCAACACAAGCTTTCTTATGTTTGATCAAAAAATATACATTAGGACTTCAAAGCTTAATGTTGGCCTAATCTAACTTATGTCATAAAAGCAGGGACCTTTGTTGTAGTGCCCCCATGATAACATGAAAGTATTTTAATACAAATCACTTTAGTATAGTCTCACATGTGAAAGTGTGATATCAAACAAAAGAATTTAAATGCTAACATATATAAGAAAGTAGCACCAAAAAAATAAGTTATGATATATCTGGATACACTGTCCTGTACTAGGATAAAGGGAAAAAGAAGTCTTTTTGTATAAAGCAGAAAGAGACAGGCCTTAAAAAAATAAAAATATATGTCTCTTTTATAATGTGATATAACCTTTGAAATATTATTATTTTGGTATTGTCAGGTTGATGTAAATCTGTGACTGAAAATTAGTATGAATTGTCCAAGCAAAGTTGGCATTTGGAGGTCTTAAGTTCGAGTTCAAATTTTATTTCAGTAACATTTGCACTTTGTACAATCAGTAGATTTAAGTAACATCATGTATCCAGTTATATTTAAATTCTATACTTGATCTGAGAGTGACTTCACACTCACTAAGCAACTTATTTTACTGACAAAAACCTGAAGGAATGATTTACTGTATTGATAAAAGCATAAATATGAATTGACTTTTCAAATAATACCTATTATCATACATGCTGTATTTCCATCATTTACAAATAATTTGAGTGCTCTTAAATTATTGTATTCATGTTATTAACCATATTTTTCTTTGGATTTATCTGCCCTGGACATTTCATTTTAAGAAAGTAACTTTTTAAACATATAAACTGTGTAATAGTATAATTAGTATCGTTAACAAGTGACCAGTAAAAGTAAGGAAAACAATGCTGTTTATGAGAATAGGGTAGGTCCAGCCTAGTTAATTGTTCATTTCCACCTGCTATTAAGAAGAGAATCTTCACATATCTTGAAACGTAAAATGCTTTTTTAATATACTGAGAAATCACCATTGTGCTCCATTAAGACTATGTTAATATTTGAGATACATTAAAACTTGAATGATATTACATCCATAATATTCTGTTTCAGTTCTGTTCGAATCTGGGATTATACTCAGGATGCCTGCATCAGTGTTCTTAATGGGCATAGTGCACCTGTGAGGGGATTGATGTGGAATACGGAGATCCCCTACCTACTGATATCTGGCAGCTGGGACTACACTATAAAAGTATGGGACACTCGAGGAGGAACTTGTTTGGAGACTGTGTATGATCATGGTGCAGATGTATACGGTAAAGTGTTTTTTGTGTACTTTTAAATTTTGCTATATTAATGATGATTATAATTTCTGAGCAGTTTAGTATGTTTTTAACTTTATTTATTATTTATTTATTGGGGAACAGTGTGTTTTTCCAGGACCCATCAGCTCCAAATCAAGTAGTTGTTTCAATCTGGTTGTGGAGGGCGTAGGGACTGAGCCGGCAACCTTGGTGTTATGAACACTGAGCTCTAACCAACTGAGCTAACCAGCCGCCCCGAAATTTAGTATTTTTTGAAAACTTCATGCAGTGTTTCATTTTTAAATAACATTTTTCTCGTTAGAAACTATACATGTTTATTATTGAACTATCAGAATACACAGAAGATAATAGAAAACATCATCAGAAATGATCAGAATGTAACTAATGTTAGCATTGTGGAGTCTTTTTCTTTCTCTCTCTGCAGGTGTATTTGTGTCTCTGCACACACACACACACTCTCTGTCTCTCTCTCTCTCTCACACACACACACACACACACACACACACTCACACTCACACTTACATGTATGGCTTGGATTTTTCTCTCTCTCTTACCATCAAGTAAGTTGTAAAACAGGCAATCCATGGTAAAGTAGATAAAGCTTATTTAGCCATTCCTCTACCTCTGTTTATTTAGGGAAATGTTTTATTTTTTAATATTATTGAGCTAGGTATGGAAAATCTGATTTCTTATCTTTTGTGTACCACTTGACTCTCACTTGTAGCACCCAAATCTTAATGGGTGGGTGTAAGTAGGTGAATTAAGAATGCAAAAACGATTCCTTAAAGACAGTAAACCTAATCTAGCCATTTGTATCCACATGCTTTATCCCATGACCTTTTAATTGATGCAGTGTGGGATTGAGAACGCCATTTCTGGACACTTTAAATTGAAAGGTCCCCAACTCTCTCTTGGAGTCAGAACTTCCATGCATCCATTTATCCATTAACTCACAGATTACTTTGCACTGCATTGGTATAACAGACTGAAATATAATTGCAACATTTTCATCCAGGACCATTTGCTTTCTAATAACTATTTAAATTGTTTTCACACTTACAAAAGATGCTCAATAATTTATTACATTTTTGTATTCAGCCAAGATAGAAATGTTATTTGAAACATTTCTTCGAAGCTTCAACTCCAGATGTTTTATGAAGTACATATAGATAAAAATATTTTTCAATGTTTAGTTAAAGTAGGTTTATTTTTTCCATCAGGTTTAACATGCCATCCGAGCCGCCCCTTCATGATGGCCTCTTGCTCCCGTGACTCTACAGTGAGACTCTGGTCATTAACACCTTTAATCACTCCTTTACAAATTAATATTCTGGCAGACAGATCTTGGGAAGAAATTATCGGGAACACTGGTATTGACAATATGCATGTATTAGATTTTATTTTTAAATCATATTATAGGAGTCTTTTCTCACTGCATGATGTCTGTTCTCCAGATTATGCTATACAACAAGGCACCCCTCCTCTATTGTGTGGTAAAGTATCAAGAGATATTAAACAAGAAATAGAGAAGCTAACTGGTAACCCTCGAGTGAAAAAACTAAGATGGTTTTCCAAATGTCTGTCAGTAAGTATTATAGGAATTAAATGTGAACATTTTCCCTTTCACGGAAATGAATTGTTACAACTATTGTCATGGAGTTATTACATATTTACATGTATCATCCCAATTCATTGGGTTCGTCTGAACAAAATCAGTACATTGTAAGAAAGCAAAAATGGAAGCTGGAAACAATGAGATAAACCATGTTATTATTTTGTTAGTTTTCAAATTATGTATGCCTGCATTATATTTTTGAAAATGCAAAATGCTGTGGGAATTCAAATTCATTACGACATCTTTGGATTTTTGTACCAACTCTTCAGCCTCCAGGTGGCACTGACAATTTGTGGAACTTAGTCGCTGTGATAAGAGGGCAGGATGACAGCTTACTTCCTCAGAACTATTGCGAAGGAATAATGCATCTGAAGCATCTGATTAAATTCAGAATGGTAAGTAAAGTATACAAATATGTGCTCAAGCGAAAATCATTTTTGCCTTTTCACTATTAAAATATAAAGATTATTTTTAAAATTTATATAATTAGAGTGGGTAGACTGAAATAAGTGAACATTGAGGAGATAAATCTTCAGTTTAAAACAATCATGAGCATATGAATTATTTGAGAACAGATAAAGGCAGCCATGGTTTTCATAGGTTTAATTTCATGAAATTCTTCAAAGGTCACTTGGAACTACTTGAAACACTTTATGTTTACCCTACAACCAGATGATCGTGACAGATGGACTATTATGATTCTAGTCTCAGAGGCCTAATAGGCTGTATTCTAAGATATGTTATTGTATTATGGCTCTTAATGAATTTTAATACAAAATTATTAGTTACCTGATACCTGGAGCGATATGCAGTACCAACCACTAACCAGTCCTGAACCAGAAAGAAGAAATAGCTTTTATATTTGCCATGAAATATCAGTGGTGAACTTAACTGGCAGAGCATGGAAAGAATTGTGCCAGGGATGTGGATTTGATGGTCATAAGAACAGTTATTCTCATAAAGAAGCACCTTTTTTATTCACAAAGTAAACACATAATGTCTGTAATGGTTCCCTATGGACAGTATAGGAGCCAAGTAGAATAAACCAGTTATCTTAATTTTTATTAGAGGCCTTTATATATTTTTTCACCAGCTAGAAATCACTTTATCACTCTATCTTTTGGCTTCCGGACCTCTGTATCACCACAACACAGAGCTTTAAGCTCTGTGAGCTTTAAGTACAGTGGGATTTAGGCTTTCTTCACCCACACCAAGCACCTCCAGTCTCTGCTCCCCACCCACACCAAAACACTGTATTTAAAGAGGTACCATATTTTATAGAGAAGAAGTATTGATTTTTAAAAATAGTTAATTTCCAATGCTATATGCTTTTAAAATATGTATCCATAGAATGCTTTTATGGCCATCTGTTATCACCAGCTCTTGTGTAACAAAATTTAGAAAATTTTATTTCCTTTTAACCAGTCTGAAGCCCAAGAACTAACAACAATCAAGATGTCTAAATTTGGTGGTGGTATTGGTGTTCCTACTAAAGAGGAAAGACTGAAAGAAGCTGCTGAAATCCACTTGAGATTAGGACAAATTCAGAGATACTGCGAACTTATGGTTGAACTTGGAGAGGTAATGTCCTATTAAAGCAAAATTAATGAATTTAACAAAGTATTCTACGTCCTAGTTAAATACTAAATATTAAGCGTATCTTTTTCTAGATGTAACTGGCCCTCTGCCAAGCTGACATCAGATGTATGCCTTAGAACAGTTGTCAAAGTGAAATCCAATCTAGCAGAGTCAGCATTACTTGGGAACCTGTTAGGCATGTACTTGCCCACCCCAAACCTAGTCAGAAACTCTGGGGGTGGAGCCAAAAAAACTGAGCTTTTATAAGCCCTCCAGGTTATCCTCACACATGTTAAAGTTTGAGAACCACTGCCCCAGGCTAGTCTTCGATTCCTAAAACACATCTGTGTAGCTCACAATGGATCCCCCTTGTTAATACGATTAATATCTGTTATAACTAAATCCCACCCTGGCCAGAAGAAGGGTTTCTACTGGCGATCATTTGGTGACATATGCTGATTTATATAGAGGACTGAATCAACAGAAGTTTTCAGTAAGGTTAGGACGATCTATTCTATTAAAATTAAGCATAGTGGGCCGGCTGAGTGGCGCGATGGTTAAGAACTGGCTTGGGATGCCAGAGGGCCCCGGTTCGGATCCCACATATGAGGGCCAGTGACACTGCCCTCCACAGCTAAGATGCTGAACAACAGCTCAACCTGGAGCTGGGCTGCCGGGAGTCGCCGGCGACGGCATACGCTGCAGCCCCTGTGGCAGTGGGTTGCCATGGCTACTGTGTGTAGCCAGCAGCCAGCGTGAGCGGCTAGCAGCTGCAGTGAGCGGCCGTCCAGAAGCCGGCAACTGATCTGTCTTGCCCGGGAAGAGCGCAATGATGGTGCCAACTTGGGCCAGTGAAGCAACGTCCTCCACAATTAGACTGAAGAACAAAACGACAGCAACTTGTCTGTTCCCTTTTCCCCAATTCCCCAGCACTGTTCCCATCCCCCCAATTCCCCAATAAAAATCTTAAAATAAAATAAAATAAAAATAAAAATAAATAAATTTAAAATTAAGCATAGTGCTTACTTTTGGAAGGTGGGTGGTGACTGAAATTGAGCAAAAGGAAGAGGCTTCCGTTTCTTGACCTGGGTGCTGGTTACATGAGTGTGTTCAGTTTGTGAAAACTTATTGAGCTTTTCATTTTCCTCATGTGTATTTTAGTTCAACAAAATTCTCTCACCGCTCAACAACAACAACAAAAAGATTAGAATGACATGGACTTATTTCATACTTGATCATTTTTTCAAAGCTCTAAGTTAATTTTATAATTACAAAGCATGATATGAAAAATACTTACAAGTAATATAAAGTAAAACTGAGCAATGCAATTCCAATAAAATATATCAAAATTTAACTTAGTGTACCTTTTTATTTCCCCATACACTAAAGACAATTACTGCTTGACCTAAAATAATAAAAGTGTCATTTAAAAACACATTGAAAAGGCATTGTAAACTAAAAAGTATTTAATCTAGAAGCAATGTAGAAGTAATGATATGACTTAAAAGTTACTTATTTATTTATTTATTTATTTATTTATTTATTTATTTATTTATTTATTTATTTAGCTGAGCCATTCTGCCGCCTGTTGGCTGCTCAGTGGCAGCTCAGCTCAGGCCGGGAATTGAACCACTAGTTGCTCAGAGCTCGCACTTTTGAGCGAGCTCTTAACCAACTGAGCCACTCAGCTGGCCCTTAAAAGTTACTTTTTAAATAAGGCACTATTAGAAAGGATAATATATATCAAAAGTCAAGAAGAAAAGGAATAAATAAATTTTGTTAAAATGGTGTAATTCTTTATATTTCTGTGTTCTGTATTTGGGTATATGCAATTTTAAACTATATTTAATTCAAATTTAATTGAAGATACCTTAACCAGGTATCTGATTATAGAACTTAATTTTGTTGTGCAATTTCATTGATGGACTTAAGGATAAAAAATCTGTGCTTACAATCCTTTAGAAATAAGAATGTCCTTATAATTTTTCATATCATCTCCTTACAAATCATTTGTATTTCTGTAAGATTAATACTAGAAAATTAGAAAAACATTTAATATTTTTACTTACAAGACATGTTTTTATTAAAAGAGCTTGGTGACATTAGTTTCATCTACATTTCAACTTCTTTTTTCCATTCGTCCCTACTATAATATAGATAAATTTCCCTAAACACGTATTTTAAGTCCCTATTTTCAGGTAACATGGTATAAATAATATAATGTTAAAAATTATCTATTTATACTTTAACCTATTATTTCAGGCTAATTACCAATTTCATAGCTTTCATTGCAGTAGAACTCTACTGTTTTGGAGCCTTAATTAAAATGGCATTTTGATTCATGTAATGATATTTCAGAATATTTTTTCCTCAGTGCCCTTCTAAATTTAATTCAGTGAAATTCATATTTTCAAGTAACCGTCACAATCAGCCTTGATTAAACAATGAGTTTCTTTAATAGTAGTATAATGTCTAAAATATGAAGGTAGGTATTATTAACTGTAAAGGGAGCGTTTACGATAAAGTTTATAAAAATGAGTAGGGAGAGAATAAAATTAGAAATAAATGTCATTTGTTAAATATAAGTAACAGTGAAATAAAATTTTCAGTATGTATTATTTTGAACAGAGAACACAGAGAACCACAGAACCAATTACTCTGTGTTGGAAATGAGTTAATATATTTTCAAACTACATACTTTAATTACTAATCCTCCCCACCCACACTTCTTTCTGTCTCTCCCTCCCTCCCACTCTCCAGATTTTGGATTTTTCCTGCTAAATAATAGAATTTACATCTCTCATTTCATTTTGAAGTATGGTAATATTTATATTCTGTGGAATGCATGAGATAAAACAAACAAACAAAAAAACACCTGGAAATCCAAACACTCTAAAAACTTGTATTATAAATCTGAGTTCACAAATAAAAGGGTTGAAAGTAAGATAGTGCGATCAAAATGGCTGTGTTTCTACTCTTCTTTTCTTCCATTTCAGTGGGACAAAGCCTTGTCAATTGCACCAGGGGTATCTGTGAAATACTGGAAGAAGTTAATGCAGAGGTAAGGCGAAGAGTCTGTCCCAATAGATGTTTTGAAATGTGTTAAAATAAAAGCTATATATAAATGTGATGGCAGCTTTTAAGATTTTTACTTTCATGTTTTTTTTTAAATAATGAATTTATATCCACTGATACAATAAACTAAATGAATCAGTTATAAGTAATTTTGGTATTCTTATATTTGACGTGACATCTGATAAATACAGTGGGAGGCAAATTTCCCCATGTCAATGGAGGAAATGACAGATCAGTAGACATACTTACTGTGATGCTATTGAAAAAGAAGTGGTAAGATTTTCCAAAAGTTACCAAATGTTTGTGAAATACTTATTTTCTAAATAATCTTGGAAATTTTCTCGTAGACACTAATTCCTACTGTTTCCTCTCCATGGATATAAGGGAGGTACAGATGATGAAAAAGAGTTTGAAAACTGAGGAAGCATAACTAGATGTCCTTGTTATAGAGTGTTACAAACAAACAAGGTCTTTCCTAAGATGTATTACTTTCGCAGGTCTCCCATAACAAAGTTCCACAAACTATGTGGCTTGCAGCAACAGAAATTTATTCTCTTAACAGTTCTGGTGGCTGGAAGTCCGACATCAAGTTGTTGGCAGGCTTGGCTCCCACTGAAGGCCCTGAGAAAAAGCCAGGTCCATGCGTCTTCCCAACTTCTTTTGGTCACTGCCAATCCTAGGCACTCATTGGCTTGTAGACACATCACTCCAACCTCTGCCTTGTCTTGATATGGCATTATCCCTGTGTGTCTCTATGTCCAAATTTCCCACTCTTTAGTAAGGACACCAGTCATATATGGTTTCGGTATACCCTAATATAGAATCACCCTGTCTTAACTAATTACGTTGACAAAGACCCTATTTCCAAATAGGTTACATTGACAGATACCATGGGTTAGGACGTCAACATATCTTTTTCGGGGACACATTTCAACCCATAATGTAAGATTATTATCTATTCTGTTCATTCAACAAATATTTATTTAGTGCTCACTATGTGCCAATCACTGCTAGGCCTGTAGAGTACTAGTTAATGAGTATTCATCTTATATCTGGCATTAAAAATGAAAAATTTGTATTTCATGGTACATGGTTTAGAAAAAAATTCAACTGCACCTCACATGTACAAATAAAAGTCAATCAGAGACAAAGCATGAAGTCCCAAAGGATTAATGCATTTGCGGTGGGAAAGCAGTTTTCCCTAGCACCTCCTTTCCCAACTGTAAGTTAAGTGCAGGCTGGCTCCAGCCCTCAGACCGTAGGCTCCTACCCTAAGCTTTACGATCCCGGATAATTCTAAGTTTCTGTACCCTCATTGCACAATTGTGAATGTTATTGCTCCTATAAACCGTAATAAAGTCTAGAGCGTATTTATTTCACAAAACAATTTTGTTTTAACCTCAGCAAAAATTCTATTTCATTTATCTTTGAAAACCAACACCTGATTTTCTCTGCTCCGTAGTCATCACATAGTGGCCAGAAAATCCCCCACAGTTCCGAAGTTTATGTTTTATAGATCCAGCCATTCAGAAAGATTGATTGGCAGTCTCTCAGTCCTAATTCCAAGTGCCCCGAAAGAGAATATTGTTCCTAAACAGCTATAACAAGGAAAAACATGGTCACATGGTAAAAACATAGCTGTTGGGGAGAATCCCAATGACCCTATGAATTGGAGACTGTTAACAGTGAGGTAGGCAGACAACATCAAAAGTATCTACTACACCTACCCAAAGATAGGCAATTGGAATGTATAAATTGAATATATCTGATTAGTGTTCAACAAAATTGAGGTTGGGGATGGTAGAAGAGGGTAAAAGGGGTCAAATATAGAGGGTGCCAAAAAATGTATACACATTTTAAGAAAGAATAAAAAACTGTATTAAAATTATAATATATACCGATAACACAAGATGAACACAAGTCATGTGTATACATTTTTTTTGACACGCCTGGTATATGGTGATGGAAGGAGAACTGACTTTGGGTGGTGAACATACAATGCGATATATAGATGCTATATTATAGAATTGTACACTTAAAGCTTATATAATTTTACTAACCAATGCCATCCCAATAAATTTAATTTTAAAAAACCCTGATGTTAAACATTAATAGTGGAATTAACTAGGTTGGTCATTGGGACTTAAATAGAACAAAAGCAGAGATGGACAGATAGTGATGAATAGAGAGACTGACACACAGCCTTCATCATCTATAAGATCAGGACGCCCAGCCCCCCTCATGTATCTGGAACATTTGTTTCCTTTATGTCCTTGTATTATCCTTTTTAATGATTTAAGCTAGTTGCACGTAGAGGCTCTCTTGAAATTATTATTTTGTAAAAATAATTGTTCTTATTTTATTAGGAGAGCTGATCAATTAATCCAGGAAGATAAGGATGATGTCATTCCATACTGCATAGCCATTGGTGATGTGAAAAAATTAGTCAATTTTTTTATGTCCAGAGGGCAGCTTAAAGAAGCTCTGCTGGTTGCACAGGTACAACCACCTAATTACACAAGCTGCACAGGATGGTGGGTGGGCGTGGAAGGGAAGAGCTTCTGTTGACTGACTCACTTTCACATCATTGGCAGAGTCATGGATGGCTTGGCTTATGCCCAACTCCAGGCCTTCTATCTGGACATTTCAGTCACACCATCTTTGCTCTGGTCACACTGAACTTATTTTAGATCCTTCAATACACAAGCATCTCTGAACTCTCAACGTTTATATGCTGCTGAATGTTATATGTGCTTGAACATCTTCTTCTAGTAGCCATTTACTTGAAGCTTCTTGTTGATAAACAGCAGAGTTCAGTTTTTATTTCAAATTCTAAGGTTAATCTCCAAATTGTAGTATAAGTTTCAAACATGATTTAAGTATACTTTGCTCAAAATAATATTCTGAAATTGGTCAATTACTAACAATTAGCTAAAGATTAATTCAAGTGTTCATTAAATTCCAGGCTGCTTGTGAGGGAAACATGCAAAGCTTACACGTCTCTACACCTAAAGGATCTTCCTATTCTGATGATATCTACAAGGAAGACTTTAATGTGTGAGTGATTTATTCTTTGTTTGGAGTCAATATTTTTATGGTTGGTTTCTCTTTAGGAGTTCTTTAGGGACGTGTGGTTCATCCTTATTTGTATACAGAGGACTTGGCTGGAGCATGTCGTCAACTGCATTTCCCACCACAATCTAGTTCCATTACAGCATCCATCCCTGGATGAACAGGAAATGTTAGGCATGTGGACACAGCCTAGACACACTTTAGCCTCCAGAGAAACAAAATGCATTTTAGTAAAGAGACTGCACATAAAGCGCCTAAAAACTGAGCCAGCCTGTTGGGGAGGAGGAGCAGTGAAAACAAAGTGTGTCGCTTATTAATGTTTCACTGTAAAGTCAGTATGGATAATATGGTAATACTGTTCATAACCCTGTGGCTCCAATATTAGTGACTAGAATAATAGGCCTCTTTAAAAGAAGAAGTCCAGATAGGTATGTTTTCTAAAGAAATGGAAATTAGAATTCTTTAGCCTTTATTTTATTTTTTTAGCCTTTTTCAAATCTAGGAATCTACCTTCCCCTGCCTCTATTTTTGGTTTCTATTTTTGCCCTAGAAAATCGGATATTTGAACTTTTAGGACACTTATCAAGTAAAACAGGATCATAAAATGTTAAGCAAATAATGTGTTGGGACTAACATATTCCTTCCTGGCTCTTTGCTGCTACTCTCTGCCACTTCTAAACTTGGCATCTTAAAGATCTAACATACACCACTACCTATATTCTAGCCACCACCTAAACTTTGGAAATTTCCAGTTCAACCTGTAATTCTTCAAAGGTTAACTTCCCCTATTACTGAGTCATTAATTATTCAATGTAGGATGGTAAATTTTGAAAATTAGGCTTTTCTTCTGATAATTGGGGGACTTCTGAGCTCACCTACTAATAAAGACTGCTTTCCTAATTCCCCCCCCGCCAAAATCAGGCTTTATACCTAACTCAAGGATGTCGAGTTAAATTCTATTTGATCCTTTAATCAGCTTGTTATAAAAGGGCATTAGTTCCCTTTTGTGATGGAATCCTTGTGTTCATCTAGACCAGCGGTTCTCAACCTGTGGGTGGCGACCCCTTTGGGGGTCGAACGACCCTTTCACAGGGGTCGCCTAAGACCATTGGAAAACAAAAAGATATTTACATTACGATTCATAACAGTAGCAAAATTACAGTTATAGAGTAGCAACGAAAATAATTTTATGGTT